GAGCGGTACGTTCAGAAATTTGCTTACCTCGAACTTCTTCAAACTGATGAATCGCTTGAACAACGGTAAGGTGCCGATTTCGTAAAATTCAAAAAGTCAAAAACCGGTCATCCCGTGGTTCTGTTACCCTAGGCCGTCTAGAAACGATCTTTCTATTGCAAGAACCAGTTTCCCGAAAACCAGTCTTGTAAAGTTTCATATGGAACTCCGATGGCATTAGCTGCATATCTAATGGAACGTCCATCATCGATAAGTGCCACACCACGGGCTACATCCTCATCACTAAGAGGCATTTTTAAACTTAATATTGAAAAAAATAAAAGCCGTAGATTAAGAAATGTGCTGCAAGAAACGGCACTGAACTAATGATACTGAATAAACATTTTGATTCCATAGAAAGTAAACATTGGAATCTAGAATAATTTCATTGAATTAAGGATTAAAGGTTATTTTCCTCCATATCAACATTCCTAATTGAAAACAAACAAAAATATTACCTATTTATTCATCAAAAACAATATACCAATCCAAAGCAGAAATATTGTTAGATGAAAAAATCAAGTGGGTGGAATTTTTTGAATGTCAGTGTATACACACACACACACACACACACATATATATATATATATATATATATATATATATATATATATATATATATATATATATATATATATATATAAATTTCCACAATATAGATATTGCTTTCTCTTACTTTCCTTGAACGTAGTATTTTTTTTTTTCATCTATAGTCCATACAATATTTAAGCCCTTATTTTGAACATATATTTTGGACAACAAAACTAGTTTAATTTAGACACAAAAAGTGAGGTTAATTTTTCTTTGAAAATCTTTTTGACAAAATCTTAGAATAAATTAACAGTGAAAACTTTTCTTTTTGTTGCATTCTGTTGTTGAAACCAATTAGCTCCAAGAAATAGGAACTCCACACCTCGGTGTAGCGGTTTCACCGCAAACGATGCCTGAGACGTCGATATCTGCCAGTTCTACAGAAAATGTGGACGCTTTAAACTCAAACCAAACTACTGAAAATAATTGGGAACTCGTTACAGGAAGAAAACGCTCAATGGACAATAACAGAGACCCAAGAAAAGCTAAAAAGGTAAGTGAAGTTACAACAGTAACCACTAATAGTTTTGAAGTTTTAACTAACATTAGTGACGAGTCTGATGCTACCACTAAGCAACCAGTTTCTGTAAAACCGCCCCCTATCCACTTGAATGATGTACAGAACTACACCGAACTGGTCACATTTCTCCAAAATGTAGGAGGTTTGAACAGCTTTAACCTAAAATCCACATCAAGAGGAGTAACCGTATATCCTGAAAACTCTGACACATATAGACGTATAGTAGCTAACTTAAGACAGGTAGGTGCCGATTTCCATACCTATCAGTTAATAGAAGATAGAAATCCAAGAATCGTATTAAAAAACTTACACCATGCTACTCCAATTGAAACCATAAAATACGAATTAAAATGCCTAGGCTACGATGCCACAAGTATTGTGAACGTTATTTCCAGATACAAAAATCCACTTCCCATGTTCTTTATCGATATCTCTAAAGCCACATTTAATGAAAAAATTTTTGATATCAAATTTTTATACTATACTAGAGTGAAAATCGAAGAGCCAAGAAAGAAAAGAATGATTCCACAGTGCACCCGTTGTCAGCAGTATGGCCACACAAAGGCTTACTGCAATCACTCCCCGAAGTGCGTGAGATGTGGCCAAGGACATGATAGCACCGTCTGCACAAAGACAAGAGAGACCGCAGCAACATGCGCGAATTGTAGCGGATCCCATCCAGCAAATTATAGAGGTTGTGCAACTCTAAAACAACTGAGGGAAGTACGCAATCTCCGTAAAAATATACAAAGTCCCCAAAAAGCACAAACTAGCGCACCCCCAGGTATAGACGAGTTTCCTTCTCTTCCGCAAAGTCAGCATACCGCAAATTCAGGTTCTTCAAAACCCGATTCTCAATATCTAGGACCAAAACTGCGAACTTCTCCTACAGAAGTCCCAGAAAATCACCTTCACCAGCCAAAGCATCCAGAAATAAAAAGGGCATTACTCAACCGCCACTACCGACTTACAATCACCCGGCTTCAGCTCAGCTCTTCAACTTGGTAAGTGGATTGAATAACCTCATCCAGCCTCTTTTCAGCCTTCTCCAAGAACTGTCTCACGTTGCACAAGCCTTATCCTCCAGTTATGGCTACTAATCGGCTGACAGTGGGCTCCATGTCCGTTCTTCTCTGGAACGCAAATGGTATAAACCAACACAGGACTGAACTTGACATGTACATACATGAAAAACGGACTGACATTGCTCTCATCACTGAAACACACTTGACTCCACATTCTAAATTTTACATTCCAGGCTACAAAATATATAGAACTGACCACCCTGATAAGACGGCACATGGCGGTACGGCAATACTGATTAAGCAATCACTAAAACACAACCCTTTACAATTACCCATTACACCTGACATACAATCCACAGCAATTACTCTGTATACCCAGCACCATACCATTACCTTCGCTGCAGTGTACTGCCCTCCGAGATACGTGCTAACATCTGCAATGTTTTACAATTTTTTCCAACATCTCGGTCGGTGTTTTATTGCAGGTGGTGATTATAATGCCAAACATCAGTCCTGGGGATCACGACTCTGTACTCCTAGAGGAAGAAATCTAAAGTCTGCCATCGATCAGCTTTCATTAAACACGATCTCACCTGATACACCTACTTACTGGCCAACTTCAAGACAGAAAACACCAGATTTACTTGACTTTTTCATTACTAAAGGACTCAGGACAGTGCCGTATACTGTAACTGCAAGCTCTGATCTTTGTTCTGATCATTCTCTTCTCAGTTTGGTACTATGCGATGAGCCTCGTACTGCATCAAAAAAACCAACACTTACAGATAGGATAATCGATTGGAAAGCTTACAGCGACTACTTAAATTCGACGCTATCAATCCCAATGTCCCTTAAGACCGAAGAGGAACTCGAAAAAGCTGTTGATAAGTTCACAATCAGCTTACAACAGGCTGTATGGTCATCATCTGTACCAAGACCTAGCAGAAATACGTCTCTTCCAATCTATCCGCAGTACATTAGAGACCTGATCAGAGCAAAGAGAAGAGCGCGCAAAGTGTGGCAGACTGGTCGACTTCCATCTGACAAACGGACTTTCAATAGACTTAACAATGAACTTAAACGACAGATTCAGAATTTTAAAAGTACGAACTACGACAATTACCTCAAAAATCTTTCGACTGACGATGGAAGCTTATGGAGACAGACTAAGAAACTTGTAAAGCATTGTGAGGTGTCATCACCACTCCGAAACGTAGATGGTTCCTGGGCTGTGTCAGACCTTGAAAAATCTGAGCTCTTTGCCAACCATCTTTCTTCTGTTTTCATACCACATACTGACTTCTCTAATACTGATCACGAAAGACATGTACAAAACACTTTAGACATTCCTTTACAACTGTCATTACCTCCACTTTGCTTCACTCCCACTCAAGTTGCAGAACAAATCAGACAGTTACCTAAAAAGAAAGCTCCCGGTCATGACCTGATAAATGCTCAAGTGCTCCAGAAAATGCCAAGGAAAGCTCTAGTATACCTAACATCAATTTATAACGCAATACTCAGAACGACTAAATTCCCCTTACAATGGAAATACTCATTCATAAAAATGATTCACAAACCTAACAAAAACACTGACTTTCCTTCATCATACAGACCCATCAGCTTGCTCCCATTATGCTCTAAAATCTTTGAGAAACTTCTCTACAAACGACTTCTTGACATACTGACTACTGAAAACATAATACCTGAACATCAGTTTGGATTTCGTTCACACCACTCAACCATTCATCAGCTACACCGAGTGACAGACTACATTGCGACAGCACTAGAGCACAAATTATATGCAACAGGAGTATTTCTGGATGTTGCTCAAGCGTTCGATAGAGTCTGGCATCAGGGACTTCTTTTCAAACTTAAGACTATACTCCCTCCAACCTACTATCTTATTCTTCAATCTTTTCTTTCTGACAGATTTTTCTCTGTTTGCCAAGGTACAGAACTATCTACCATTAAACCAGCCCTAGCAGGGGTGCCTCAGGGGTCAGTACTCGCTCCTCTGTTGTATATTATTTACACATATGATATTCCAGATCCTCTCTATACTCTGACCGCGACTTACGCAGACGATACAACAATCTTGACAAGACATCAAAATTCAGCTTACGCCTCACAGACTTTACAATATCACCTAAACAATTTCTACGACTGGTGCAAACTCTGGAAAATTCGACTCAACCTTGACAAATCACAACATATCACTTTTACCCTTCGACGTGAAACTTGCCCCCCTATTTACCTTGACAATATCCAAATTCCTCAGACAGACAAAGTTCAATATCTTGGACTGACCTTTGACAGAAGAATGACATGGGGCCAACATATCAAAAACAAAACAAAAACTTTAAACCTAAGACTACGCCTATTGTACTCACTCCTTGCAAGAAATTCGAAATTAAAACTTAGACAGAAATTGAATACATATACTTACCTACTCAAGCCTATTTGGACCTACGCTTTACAGATATATGGGACAGCCAAAAAGACTCACATACGTAAATTACAGACTTTTCAATCTAAAACTTTCAGGACTATTACCAAAGCTCCCTGGTACGTCAGTAACATTACTCTACATAAAGACTTACAGATGCCAACAGTTAACGACCACATACGAACATACTACAAACGATTCCATAATAACCTACACGGACATACAAACTCATTGATTCGAGGCATGGCCACAACTAACATGCCCGATAGCACCCGAAGGAGGCTTAAAAGAAGCTGGATGAGGGATCTCCTCCACTAACTAGAAATATTACGCTCAAGACAGGAAGGACGCCGCTGGGTACTCCTCTCCCTCACGCCTATTCCAAGACCAATCTCTTCATCTTGACATCACACTCGCTGATTGTCGGAACTTCTGACAGGTGTGAGTTGAAGAATCAAGTCAAAAAAAAAAAAAATTTAGACATAAACAGATTTATTAAAACTAAAAGAAATACAAAAACATTCTAATTCTATTTATTTAATATACATTCTATTTATTTTTTATTCATCATGGTTTCCTTTAAATATTAATCCATCCACTCACCCTTACAAGAGACTGGCGGATAAAACCTGTAACATAAAAAAAAAAAATATTATAATTGTTTGTGAATGTATTAATCCGTAGCACAGACCTCGTTTTATAAAATTATTAACATCTGCCTGAAACTTCGTAAATCTCATCGTGACAAATAAATATTTTATTTATGAAAATTCTCAGAACTGGGGCGTTTTCTGTCTGGAGATTGGCAAACTTTTTCTATTCATTTCGGTACTAAAACTCGTCAGCTTTACACTTGAATTGTAATTTAATATCATAAAAAGTTCGAAAAATGGCATACAAAAATGTTGGGAGTGTGGCCTACATACCTTGTTATTTTAACTTTTTCGGGGTAGGGGTCACGCCGAACGGACTAATATTTATTTAGAACACTTTTTTTTTTCTTTCAAATATGTGATTCATCTTATTTCACGATTCAAGTGGAAAGTAAATGTGGATTCATGAGTTTTTAGTACCTAATTGAATCGACTAAGTTTGCCAGATTCCAGATTGAAAACTTCCCAATTTCGAGAATTTTCGAAAGAAAAATAAATTTGTAGGTTACGATGAGATGAAGCTACTTACAAATTTTCAGTCGGATATATTAATAATATATAAAAAGGGGTGTGTACCACAAAACATATTTCTCTACTTTTTCTTCACATTTTTATTTGCAGACTGTTTATTTCAAATAAATATTTATTTTATTTATTTTTCAACTACAAACCCGTTCATGACGTCACAGCAATAGTTTTTACAGCACCTATATTTATTTGGACAGCATCTATTCTTATAGGCAGGTGGACATGAGTGTAGCATATTCTGTTGAGCTTCGGCTGGTAAATAAAAATTAGAATTTATTATTAAAAATTATTCATGGTACATACAGTGGCAGCATAATCTATTTGTACAACTCAGTTTTTCTACATATAAGTAATATTTAAAAAAAACATTTGAGCTAACCCAATAAAAAGTGCAATTAAACTTTACAAATAACAGTATACATTCAAATGAAAACTTTGATTATAGTAAAAACAATTAAAAATTAATTGAATGCCAAAAAAAAAGTAGTTGGACAATTTGTTTAATTTCTAATGTATGTTTACTTGCTTGAGTATAATTCTGTTCTTTCATATTCTAAAATATCTCAATCGAGTAAGATCTATGTTTTCTTAAATGTTTGAAATTTATAAAAGAAGTGAATTGACAATCAGTACCGACTCTTGGGAGAAAGTGATTTGATTACAAAAACAACAAAACTCATATCGCAAAATAGCAGATTTCATGTGTCTTCTTTTTTCTACCATAAGAGACTTGGTAAGTCTCTTAAACTTAGTAAGAACGGGATTCAACTGAAGATAACTGGAGCAAATGTCATTGTTGTGAATTTAGTTGTCAGTGCAGAAGTCGAATTATTGTGCTCGAATCAACTTCTAGTTTGTGTCAGGGAGAGAACTGTAAGGAATTTTCTCGATTCTTTAGAAATGTAAATAAAGTACATAAATCTTAATAATTTTTAAAAATATTAATAAAAAGATATTTAGTTTTAGTGAAATTTACACAACTTTTATCGCTCGTGAATATTCTAAATTCCACTTTTATTGTTCTGTTTAATGGCTTCACAGTTGTAAATAAGGGTAACTGTACCCTTTCCTATTAATTTAAATAAAACTTAAAACTGAAATTAAAATCTTATAAGTGAATATATAACATGTGACATATAATATTATAGTGAATATATAACATAGAACTGAATATATAAATTAATAATTTTGAAATAATGGAGGAATAATTTTTTTTTTCATTCTAAGGATCACAAAACATGAGTTAAATATCTTGTATTTTTTTTCTCTTAGGTCTGAATATTGATTAAATCATTACAAGCTAACTGTAGATGTTAAGAAAGTTGTCTTTTCGAATTAGTTGTACTTCTTAACAGAGAGTCTGATTCAATGAATAATCAGTGAATTAATTGAAGGATCCCAATGAACTATTTAAAATTATAATTGCGTAGCAGCAGTATAATTATCTTTATGTAATGTTGTTTATTTATGTGGAGTGTTTGTCCATGCTAATTTGTCATAAAATATAACATCAATAAACTATCTAAATACGTAACTATTCTTTGTTTTAAATTCCCTTATCATTGTGATTAATCCATATATATATATATATATATATATATATATAAGTTAAGCGTCGTCGGACTTAAGAAATAAAAAAAAAGAAGGAAAAGGGAAAAGATGTAACATACACGACTTCTGAATAAACACTGCTTTATTCGTTCCATAAGCCTCCTTATATACACTTAGCCTGTTTATTTACATTACCAGATAGTATTAAGGCTGATACCGCCAGTCTCCGGTCTTTATCTCCCCCCCACCAGTTTACGAACAGGATTTTCGAAAACTTAAATATTCCTAGATCGGAGCCCACGGTGACCAGCCTTAACACTTTACAATTGGTTTTACAGTATATCCTTAAAAGAAAATAAAATACTTCCACTCAACTGGAAAAATAATAAAAAAAAAATAATTAAAAACACTGAAACTAAACACAGCACTTTAGAACTCCTACCACTTGAGAACTCCTAACAACAACAAAAAAAAACACAATTTCCTCTATACATGAAATAATACAAAAAAAATTTTTTACAACTTGTTTTGTTTTGACAGCCACAAAAAAACATATTTCTCTGTTTTATCTACAGCGGTGAGGGTACTACGAATCCGTAGGTCTATGTCCCGACTGTATCATTGGGAGCTTTAATTGTTCGATATGAACGGTTCTCCTCTTTCTGGGCTCATTCACGCTCTCAATAGTTAACAGGTTATGCTCCCTAATAACAACCACTCTGAATGGACCCTCGTACCGTAGCAATTGTTTCCCTCTGTTGGTTCCCAATTTCCGGTAAACTATTGTTCCTATTTTTAGTTCCCCCATTTGGTCGCGTACCTGTACATTCTGCCTTTCCACCCGCTTCTGCTTTTCCCGCTTAATTCTCGCCGTTATCTTTCCCCATGTTTTCTCTACCTCTACCCTATTGCTGAGAATTTGATCCACTAACGGTTCGGTAAGCGTAGTTTCCCCATAATCCCGCCTTGGCCTGCGCATCCCGAATAGAACTTCCATGGGTGAAAACCCCGTTACGGAGTGGATCGAGTGGTTATAGGCTGTTACCGCTTTCCTCATTGCCACATCCGGCTCCAACCCTTTTTCACCCTGATATACACGGACGTGGTCGCTTAATGTACTGTGCAGCCGTTCAATACCGCCTCTACCTTTAGGATGTCCTGGGGTGTTATAATGCCACGCAATTTCCAATCGCTTCACCTCCTCCCTAATCGCGGCATTGTCGAACTCCCTACCACCGTCCGATGTAATCCTCTCGGGGACCCCATAGAACTGCACCCAGGTTTGTAGGGCTTCCGCAACTGCATTGGCTGACTTCTCCATCACTTGGTATGCCATCGCCACCTTGCTGAATATGTCGATTACCGTGACCCACTTAAACCCTTTCCAGGTGAACGTGTCAATCTGAAGGTCCTGTAGCGGCATATTCCCTGTAGGTGTCTCCTCCTGAACTCCTCTGGGGGGGTGTCGATCGTATTTTGTGCGCATGCATATCTCGCATTTCCCAATGACTTCCTGGATGGACCTCTTCATGCCCCACCAGAAATACTTCCGACGCAATGCCTGCAGCGTCTCATTAACGCCTCGGTGATTGGTTTTCCCCTGGTGATATGCTACTGTGATTGCTTGCTGCTGCTCTTCGTCCTGTACCGTCTCCACAGCATACTTGCACCGGATGAATGTCCTGTCCACGCCTATTCGCTCGGACCTCCACATTCGCTTGATCTTATCCCATACCGTATTGTTTCCCACGTATAGGTAGTGCGTTTTACCCGCTTCCGAGGCATCCCTCAGTGCCGTACAGATTTGTTCTTCGCTGACCCCGGGCTGCGACCAAATGACGCGGATCCTACTTCTCCCGTACCTTCTGAAATCGATCTTCATGATTCCGGTTGTTCGTGTCTTCCAAATCACCTGACGGTGTTTGTCGTTCACGATCTCCTCTATTTCTTCCATCTCCGCTGCCCTTTCTTCCGCTGAGCTCTCCTCTTCTGGGGAATCTCCCCTGTCCTCAATCCCTGCGGTGTCATTTGCCCCTTCGCCATCGGGAGTCCATTCCCTCAAGAATTGACGCACGTCCTGCGATGGTCCTCCCCTGTCCTCTTCAACCGCGTTGATCATGATGGCCCTCGAGAGCCAGTCTGCCACCACGTTTTCCTTTCCCGGCTTATACACCACCTCTATGTTGTATTGGCTTAGGATCTCCTTCCATCTTGTGACCCTAGCTGAGGTTTCCTTGAGTTTTCCTACCCACTGGAGGGGTTTGTGGTCGGTATGGACTCGAAATTTTCTCCCGAATACGTATGGCCTGAAATGGTCGATAGCCCATACTATCGCGAGTAGCTCCCTCTCCAAAGCGCTGTACCTTGATTCCGCACCCGTAAGCCGACGGCTCGCGTATGCTATCGGTCGTTCACCCTCACTCCCCCCCTGGGACAAAACGGCCCCTAGCGCGTATTCACTCGCATCAGTGGTTATATTAAAAAGCTTCTCGAAATCCGGGAACGCTAACACCGGCTCCGTCAGCAACCTATTCATACATTTTCGAATGTTATTCTCCATCTCTGGTGTCACCACAATCTTCGCGCCTTTCTTCAACAAATTGTTAATGGGTACCAAATACTCTGCCATCTCGGGTACGAATCTCCGGTAATAATTCAGCGTCCCGAGAAGCCTACGAATCCCCTTGACGTCCCGTGGTACCGCCATCCGCGTGATTGCCTCCACCTTTGCCGCATCCGGTCTGACCCCCTCGCTAGAGATAGTGTGGCCTAAAAAATTGATCCGCGTTTGTCCCAGCAGAGACTTCTCGCTTGACAATTTCAGCCCGAATTGCCGGAGCCTTTCGAATACTGCCCTCAGATGTCCCACGTGCTCGGTTTCCGTTCTGCTAAAAATCAGCAGGTCATCCATGTATACCTGGCATACCGAGTCATCGATGCCCCTCAAAAATTCGTCCATCAGACGCTGAAATGTTATGGGCGCATTCTTCAGACCAAACGGCATTCTGGTGAATTCATAATGCCCCCTTTCAAATGTGAACGCTGTTTTGTGTTGGTCTTCCGGGTGCATCCGTATTTGGTGGTATCCCGCCTTGAGGTCCAGCGTGCTAAAGACCACGGCCCCACTCAACCTATCGAGTATATCCTCGAATCTCGGGATCGGGTACTTCTCGTCTACCGTGTTATCGTTCAATTTACGATAGTCTACTACCACCCTGTATTTTTCCTTATTATCCCCCGGCGCTGCCTTCTTTTTCACCGCCCACAGGGGACTATTGAATGGTGAGGTGCTATCAACTATGATTCCCTGTTCTTTTAGACTATCTAGCTCCTCCCGAATATGCTGTCTCAACGCCTGCGGGTATCTTCTCTCTTTCACGTAAGTTACCCTCTCCTGTTTCAGTGGGATTTCGTGCACCGTCCTCCCTGTTACCCCTAATACCTCACCTTCCCTGAAGAAGATATCCCTAAACTCCTCTTGTAGCAACTTCCTCCAGTCCTCCACTCTGTCCACCGCTCCTATCCGCACCCTTCTTTCTCTCGCGACCCCTATACATCCGAACTTCCTCTTTCCCAACCTAACGCTCCAGACTCCTCTACGATTTCTAATGCTCGCCCCTACCTGACCTAACAAATCGCACCCTACTATGACTTGGTATTCCCGAGTCATGTTCTCCACCACATGCACCCTTAGCTCACCC